GCAGGGCAACGCGCTAATACTTCTGCCTTTTGCCTGCCTGGCACAACAAAGGAGAATGATTTTTGCCATCAGCAGTCTCCCTATCACGGAATCATTGCACAATTTAGTATGATTAATGGTTTCCATTTAGGAGAAGCTGAGAATGAAAACAGCGGGGCAGAAGCGGCAACTCGGCTGGGGGTGCTCACGGCTGCAACTAGCGTGGAAGGGCGAGAGATCTGGCCAGTGCCTGTGGCCATTCCCTCTACCTTCCCTTCCCGGCATGACTGGGAGGCACTCTGGGGTGAAGGAACACATGGCTTTTGACATGCATTTGCAGAAACAGTCTGAAAAGCTGCAACCTTGTGATGCACTGTTTGCTGTTTCATCCTTGCAGCCTCCCAAGCATTTATGAATGAGAAGCTACTCTCTCTTAACCTGCCAAAGGGAGTTTCGTTCTCAGAGGTTCCTAACTAAGGGCTAGGTCGAGAGGCAGCTTGGTGATGGGCTGTACAGCTAAAGCTAGCGGAACTAACTACACCACTTCTTGGCATTCCTAATGGCCACACGAGGATGCCACGTGGGGAAGGACGCCACCCTTATGCTAGGATGGTAGCGGTGGCCTTCAGCTCAGCCACCTGTGTCTCTGGAGCCCCCAGGCCGGGGGACCTAGTCTCAGGTCTCATCTGCTGGCTGTCCCAGGAGTTCTTCTTCTCCATTCTGCAGCATCCTTTTCTTTCCAATTCTGTAGGCACTGCTTCTTGTCAGGTCTCCCAGCTGCTGGAGATGAGTGGTGAGACAATGGCAGTCATAGCCAGAGACTTGTGGGTGCTGATAGAAACCAACCGGGAAAACACAGAGGATTCAAGAGGGCCTGCATTTTTTTTTTTTTTTAAGCAATAGCCTTTGTGACTGAAGCCAGAAAGGGAGAAAATTGGTGATCTTGGCTGAGTCTAACGTGACTCAACGCCCTTCTCGATGCATTGGTGTCTCTGCAAGGAAATCTATTATTTTCCATAAACTGTCTTAAGCATCTCCCGGGCTAAATTTCTGGCTGTGTTAAGAATCAAGCCATCAAGAACAGCTGTGAATGTTATACACTTTCAGCAGCAGCAATGGGCTTTGGCAGAGAAGTAGGAGCAAAAAACCCAAGTAGGACATTTCAGTTGACAGTAATGGCATTTTCCCTTCCTTGTCCAAACGATAAAAGATTCATGCTCCTAATTGCAACACTATAGCTGCCCCCATCACTTTATTCTGGGAGAGGAGGTTAGAGAAAACAGGCCTAGAGAGAGGGAGAGAAAGAGAAAGAGAGAGAGAGATGGATGGTAATTTCGTCACTAGCTAACAAAGACTGATTAGTGTGAAGACTTCCTTCCATAGCAATACTTTTTAATCAGGTCTGCTGTGTCTGGGCAAACAGCTTTTGTGGATTAGCTAGATTCGAGCCTGCCAGCATCCGATGCAAGTTTAAACGATGAAATACACAACTACAGAGAAAACAAACCAAAAAGAGTAATAACGTCACACATTTCAATATTCAGCAACCATTAAGGGATTTAAATATTTGCTTGCTATTAAAGGCTTGCATTAGGCTCTTCCAACACCAGCTCTGGAAGACTGAAATATCAATTATGGATCAATTTTCCCCCTAAGTAAACACTAATGCAGGATAAACAGTATTAGAAGATGCAATCGTAACATTGCTGACTTCAGGGTGGACTTCCTGCTGGTAACAGCAAGTTTAAGCCTGGTGATTAATTAACCTGAGAAGATAGCACTTAAGGAAGATTTAAGGCGATCACGTCTGAAATATAACTGTGAGCCAGTGCACGCTTGGTGGGCAGCTGGAAAAGTCCTGGGCCCAGAACATGCATTGATTTGACCCTCAGTAGTGATCTTCATTTTCTCCGGAATCACCGCCCCCCAGCTCAACACCCCAAAGGATTAGGAGGGAGTTAAATGGAAGTCAAGAGTGGGTGTGCGTGTGGGAGACAGTAAAAACAGCAGACTTTAAGTCAGGTAGGCTCCTTGTTGGGATTAAGTCCATATTTAAATATAAGGCCTGAGTTGCATTTCCGGGCCTGACCACCAGGGGCAGTAGACATCTTACATTCACTTTGGAATGAAAAATAAAAACATGAAAATCAAAACAAACATAATTTCCTGTGTACAAAAGGGCCTAGAGGAACTGAGGACTGGAAGATTTGAAAACAGAAGACTCTTGCTTTCGAGTCTCAGTTTTTTGGAGTGCTCACATTATATGTGTACCTGAACACCCTCTTGTGGGCATGTGTGTGTAATGTGTATGTGAAGGGGGGTGCGGGGGTGGGGGGGTGATATGGGTACATTAAATACTGTGGCTCGTATCAGAAGCACATTTCAAAATTTTGAGATGAACACAAATAAGACAAGGACTATTGTTTGATGCTTTTCTACCATGCCATACGTCATTCTGAAGGCCCCTCACAATATATGCTAGCAATGGTGAGGCTTTGCTTAGCCATCACCAAAAATGTCATTCCCTGCAAAAGGGGAACAGATACTCTGACCTGGCAGGTCCTTGAGAATGATGGACACTAAACTCAGGGCTGGCGGGCTGGCTGATTTCTTCAAGGCCAACCTGAAAGCTACCATGTTGCGCGTGGACTTACAAAGGTCAAGATTGGAGATACTAAGTACAAAGTGAGACGTAGGCAACCAGGGTCTTGATTAGTCTCCCTTTAAACAACTACTACTTGCTCAGTGTCTATGTGCCTACCACTGACTTTAACATATTGGCCCACAAGGTCATTTGAATGATGGCCAAGAGTTCTTTTCCTTCTCCTGTACAGGGTCAGACATCCAAGTGCTTCCTTTGGAAATACTTCCAAAGAGTACATGTGTGGTTGTGGAGACAAATTTCACGCTGAAGGAATTTGGCTGCCAGTTTAGTCATGACTAAGGCACCCTGGCAAAACGGTGTGCATATTATTAGTCTTGGGCAGAATTTCATAATGAAAAAATGCCTTCACTTATGCATTCTTTCTACGTGTTGGATGGTGACTGCATGGTTGCTTTAAGGTTCTGGATGCCAGAATCAAGGGAACATTTCTCCATGGACTAAGTCCACAGCAGTGCAAGAATCACATTTCAAGTATACAGAGGACAGTGAAAGATTGCACCAATTAACACCCGCATATCACCTCAGGGTTCCGGTTGATGTATTTGGAGAATGCAAGCAGGCCAAAACATCGGAAAACTCTCCGGAGGAAGTGAGGACCGTTTTCCCTCCCATACCAAATGAAGGCTCGGCAACTTATCAAGCTCCCGCTAACCTGGACCGCTTCTGGCACCTTCTCATTTGCAAACCCTGTGGAATTCAGAGGCAAATGTGCAGCCCCCAGTTCAGTCAACTTCCCGGGTCCCTTTTCTGTAGGTTATGGCCCAAACTGGGGCCTCATGCTACAGACAAGGGAAGAGGGTTGGGTACACTCAACATACTGTGTGCCATGTGGCCTGAAATAACTATACTAATGAATGGTGAGGAGAAAGGGTCACTAAACATTCTGAGGCAAGCTTCACAAGGGTGTGGTGTGTCCACCTGCCTGAGGTTTTCACAGCTAGTCAGTGGTGAGCAGGGTCTGGAACCCAGGCAGTCTCTGTTAGCACACACACTTGATCTCTGCCCTCTAGCACCCACAGCAGACTTTTTATATAGTTATGATGAATTAGTGCTGCCCACTGCTCCCGGCCCCTGAAATCTTGACTCCTGCCTGGACTTTGAGAACAGCTGCAAGACTGATCCCCAGTCTCCAGACCTCATCTGATTACACTTTATTCTTCCCGTACAAGACAGAGGGCTGGCAGGGCTTACTACCCTCGGTACCTGTGGCTCACATCCCCTGTCCACTAACCCATCCTTTGAGATCCGGCTGGGGACCCCAGTTCCTCCAGTAAGCTGTCTTGACTCCCTCGTCTTCATTGATTTCCCTTCTCCAAAAAATTCCCACATCACTCTCAGGGCTCCTTTATTATGTTGGGTGGGGCCCCCACAGCTGAGGACCATTGCACGTTTCCACGTGGGTGTAACTGATGCCCCCGTTCACCTCCAGGGACCACTTTACACTTCTCTGTATTTGTCACATTGCTGGATACAGCAGGTGCTCACTAACTACAGACCTGATTAACTGCTTTTTACAGAGACAGGCAAGAGGCCAGGCCAGGATGGAAGAGGCTGAAATGCGATACACAACCTTTGGCTTGTTCTGGAGCTTACCTTTTTTTTTTTCCACTGCAGAGCTTTCCCCATTCCCTGTCAGAGAGAGAAAAGGGGAACTCAGCCACAGCTGGGTGAGTCATGGGGCAAGGGCACTTTGGAGCTGGTCAGATATCTGCATGTTTGTAAGATCAGTGACCAGAAGGTGTAGTTGTTGCTCACGTGGGCCTGCAAGGCAAGGAGGACGACGGACAGACTGAATCCTGCAGTACCCCCGGGCCCGGAGGTCTCGGCAGCCTAAACAGGAAGTGAGAACAGTCTTCCGTAGGCGGCCAAGCCAGTCCTCCGCAGAGCCAGATTTCTTTTAGTTAAAGGAGAGAGAACTTGAAATGAAGAAGGCGGAATGAGTTGTTAAGACACAGAATCCCAAAGTAAGAGAGACAGGTGGAGCAGCCAACACAGGAAAGTTGGTGGGGGTGGAGGGTGACAAGAGGGGGAGGGGGTGGGAGCCGGATTCACGGGAGGGGCCTGTCCCAGCTGGCCGATCACTGCATCCCGTGCACCTGCACAAATCGCTGAGTCCACGCTGCCGAGCACCTGGCCCACCTGGCCACTGAGAGGGGAGAAGAGAGAACAAGGGCAGTAAGGCTGAGCAAAGAAAGCGAGCGAAATCAGATCAAAGAAACCCAGGCGGCAGCATTTCCTAACATCTGCAGCCGTGTTCTTGGCCCCGCGCAGGGTCCTGAGGAGGAAGCCGAGCCCAGGGGCCCTCTCTTCTCTCACGCCAAGGCGTCCGTACAAAGTCCATAAAGAGATTAAATGATCACTTTGTAACATTAATTTTTTTTATTAAGAAGACAGATATTTTATAGTACTTCTTTTTTTCTTTTTCTTTTTCTTTTTTTTTGTAAAAATGGTATACATGAACCAATACAAAATGCGAATGGGAACATATGAATATGGAGTTTCTTACACCGTAACATTGTTCATGTACACCTTAAAAACAGAAATGGCCTAAAGGGAAAAAGAAGACGTCGGTGTGACTAAAGAACAAGCTTATTTGGCATCAATTATACATCCTTCATTATTTTATATTCCTTTAAAAAACACAAAAAACAAGTTTGTTCTTTCTTCACTCTAAAAAAAGTGATCAACCTGTACAAAGTAATACTCAACAATACATTTCAAACAGTGCACTGTATACTTAAGAAAAAATACATAAACCAATATACAACTAAAATCCATAATTTCCTGTTTTTGCTTTGTTTTATTATTTTTTTTCCAATGTGTGGGGCCTACACTTTGCAATCTACCTGAGACGGAAAACACCAATCAAAACACATGAACCTGAGACATGTCAACATTGTAAGCCATAAAGTTACATCAGGAACACTGCACTACTGTACACTTTTCAAAACAGAAAGATGGGAGGTCCCAAAAAAGAGATGCTAATCCTGTGAGCAATGGTAGGTTTCATTTTGTTTTTATTTTCCTAAAAAGAACAACTGAAAAAAACCTTTCAACAACATGCTAAATGGTTCTCACCCTTTGATATGGATATACTATGGTCAGAATGGGTGCTAAGGGCTCGGAATAGAGCTGCACATTATAAAATTCATTGAAAAAGAGATGTTCTTGTGGCTTTTTGTCTTGGTTAAGTGCCTAGGGATAGGAGAGGGGAAAACAAAAGGCTGCTCGATAATGGATTTTCTTTTACATACCAGTCCGTTCCCAAAAGGCCCCCATATTGCAATGGTTCTATCAAAGGTTAAAATAAAGACAAGGAAAATAAACACACTTTCAAATAACAAAGAGTTGACACTTTTTCCCCCTTAAATAAATCAGCGTAAGTTTTCCACATAATGTAACAATAGTAAAAATGCACCTTGCAAAATTCAAAATTACTCACTGAAAATGTTATATAATATATATTTATATATATATAGATCTATCTTTTTTGATGCCATCTTTCCATCGGGACTGGAGTCTGGAGTCTGGAGCCTTACCAAAACATATGGTAAGAGTTTAGTTTTTGTCCTTCAGGACTACTTCTAGATTTCCTAGACGTTTCAGTGAAAATCCCCACATTTCTTTAAAAAAATGTAAATGGTAACTTGACTCCTCTACCTTTTCCCAAGGCTCCCCATCTAAGATATGTTCAAGGTAACTTATTTTAGTAGCTATGCACTATGGCTGCCATCATGCGAGGATCAGTAATTTTTTGGCAGATGGTTCTTAAGGCTGAGGAGAGAGGCCAAGGCTAGTGTATGAAAGGTAAAAAGATAAAAACACTCACATTTGAGTTTTGATTAAGTAACTGAAAACCCCTACATGCTGTTTTTCCACCTCTGCTTTGACCTTTTGAGAACTGAGATCGACAGCAGACCAGCGTGAGAATAATGCTGCCCCTTCTTTTGTACCTCCTGCCTTTGTCAAGCCAAATCTGAAGGAATGAAAGTTTCACACGGATTCGAGTTGGAAATCCCAGCATGACAAATATCTGTAATATACAGTACATGCAGGACACATCCTACTGCCTTTCTAACTAAGCACAAAGGGGAAAAAAAAAACCTGTCCCATTCAGTCATTCGCACACCGTTAGGACTTGCTTTTTCCTACAAATTAGTGAGAAGTAAGGCCGATTGGGAAAGGTGGATGGAATCATTTGGAACAGAAATAACCAGAGCAGAACTATCTTTCCCCCCCTCCCTACTTCCCCTCCTGTGGCAACTCAAATATGTCCACTTATATAAAAGGAACAGCCCTCACTGTCAGGTCTGTTTAGGGCACTGAAAAAGGAGGAGCCCCTCCAACCCCAAGCCTTTCTGGACAGTGTGGGGTATCTATACTGAGCCGTCTACAGATACAGAATTAAAGACAGATTCAATCTCATTGTGACACACCTCACTTGCAGATAACCCTGTACAGTAATGTAGTTCCACAGCAAACAGAACATTTTCGGAATCACAGTCTAAGTTTCTAGTCTTCACTGCTCTAAGTATTTGAAACATGGGCAGCAGCAAAGAGTTCTCATTGTTTGTTCACCCAAATCTTTACGACAACAGAGAAGAATGCATTATGGATACACTAAATTCTGAACTATGAAATCTAAACTGTGCTGGTTCTCCTTTTATGAAACTGAACTTTGAACAGAAAGCAGTTACTTCAACAATAAACAGGAAAGTAAAAACAATAGCAAAATAAGGGGGAAACGATTCTAAGGAATCCCAGCAGGCAAATTCCAAAATGGGAGATTTTGGAAAAAAAAAAAATCCAAAAATTTTTTGGAAAAATAAATGCGTACGAAGGAAAAAAAAAAAAAAAGGAACGCAACAAACAAAAAACAAGGCACAGAATTTTCTGCAATCTATCCAAACTAAATCCAAGCATCCAAGTTTGACTTGGTAGGAAGAAATAAAAATTAAAAAACCAAACAAACAAAAAAGAGGTGTCAAACAGCAGTGTACTTTTCAAAGAACATTTTTTTTTTTTTTTACACATCAAAGCCCAAGCCTTCCCAGTCTCGCACCTTTCCACCCATTCATAAAAAAACACACGAATTTCTGGCAAGTTCCAATATCACTGTCTCTTTATCATCTAAATAGGGCCAGTTGGACACCTCATTGAAACAAAAGGGCTGTTCTAGATGAAGTACTCTTTCTTTTCTTCAGAGTTGTTCTGTCCTCCTTCTGCATTGATTATAGCTGTGTCTGCGTCTGCTGCGTCATCGGCTCCTTTGGCTTCATGAGTGAAGTATGTACCTGAAAGATGAAGGGGTAAAGCACCGTGACTGTCTGATGGCCTCTGTGTAAAGTGGTACAGAGATGGCAACTTGCTTTATAGCCATCATCAGCCGAAGTGGTGTGCAGGCAGCAGAGGGGAAAAAACAATTGGAAGAAGAGAGCGAGGTGGGTGAGACAAATGGGGATCCGGGGGTTCCAAAGGCACCACTCCAACTGAACCGCTGCGATATAATTCAGCAAATGAGACATTAGAGCAGTGATTATGACCAGAGGATGTCAGCAGAGGAAGACGTGAGTGGGAGCTAAAAATGCAGAAAGCTGGAGAGCTGCTGACTAACGTATAAACAGTAAACGCCCAGGACCAATGACCAGATACGTGCACGCACATGGTTAAAGACCAAAGCAAGAAAGAGCAATTAGCCAATAAATGAATTAGGGCCCTGATGATGTTCTATTGTCATCTCAAATCGTTCACTTGAACCCTTGCCTCCCGTCTTCATGAATCATTATTGCCTATCCATATATAAGTGGAAATGTGCTCGAACTTGCACAAGTATGTTTGATTTTCTTCTGCCTTCCATTTCAGAGTGGGGTTCCAGATTGACAAATAATTGGACATGATGACAGCTGTAATCAAGGCTTGGGATCTGTCTTAAGCAACAAGTGATTCTCTCTCAGAGTGTAACTCTAGCCGGACCCAGATTCATGGATTTGCTAATTGGCATAGCCACTCTATAATGACAATAGACAGAAGGGTACAAAGTTGGTGACGCTCTCATCACCAAGTCCCAACAGTTTACATGAAGAAAGACAAGGAATGCACCTCCATATGCTATATAGCTAGAGCTTACACTGCCTATCGTAATCAAATAACCCTCCTCCTATTATAGACTGTATTCTTGGAGACTGTTAAGTAAAAAAGGGCCGAAACATTTGTTGTATCTTCAGGTTTTCAGAGTAACAAAACTGAGAAGGCGGGTGGTCAATGTTCCCTTCCTGTCCCCCTTTTTTCCTCTGGAGAGTGACGCATCTGTCCTCTCCTCTGGCTCTCTACAACTGCTGGGCAGATTTCTGCCCTGCTCTCTGGCCTTACCTTCCTGGCTCTGTCAAGCTCAGCCCCAAGCGGCTGGGAGTTCTCCGCCAAACAGACTGTCTCCTGGGTGTAGGCAGACGGTGAAGTACGCATAGCGCTGAGGTTCCCAAATGGTTTTACGCTCGAGACTGGCACTTTGGATGCTAAAGGTGGTTGTCAAGTACCTTGGACTTCCAGTGCTGTGCTCAAGGGACCGTCCCCAACCCAAGTTCTACAATCAAGCAGTACGCAAGCACCTAGAGTTCGTACTGTAGGAAGCCCCGCAAGCTCACTGCACAGTGCTTGAGAAAAACAACTGAGAAAGACAAGGGCCGACAAAGAAAAGGAAGAATGAATTACCCCGAGGGGAGAAGAGGTTCAGAGCAGCATGGGGCAGAGAGCAGAAGCGTTGGAAAAGATGATTGCCCATCCAGGCTGCACAGTTGATAAGTGTGTGATTAATGGCAATTTAAATCAATTGCACTGATAATTTAAAAAATACATATTTATGTGGCTTTTAAGGCATATCAAACCAAGCACGTGTTCCAGCCGCTGTGACCAGCTTACCTGGAGTTTGGGGCCAGGGAGCAGAGCTAGTCCACCTGCTTCACAGGAGGCAGCAGGTTATAGGTGTGCTCTTGCCACTGTTTATCGTTTTGGGGTTCACGCCACACCTCCCACACCAGCCCTTACTTTGTAATTTTTACTCTGTCCCCAATTACGGATTGTATAATAACAAATCTATACAGCTTTATATTTAGAGAAAATCCAAATCAAGGAGTGCTACTCATCAACTCTCAGAGTCCTAATCAACAGCTGCTAAGATTTCTGTGTTTTTTTGTTTTTTTTTCTCCTCTCCCAGTTTCAGGAATCAAAGAGGCTATGCGGCCACATAAACCAAATTGCCTATCAAGGACAACCTTGTAAAGTCCCCAAGTGCAGGGGCTGTGGCGACATGAGGCCTTCTGCCGGCCAAAGCACCTCACTTACCTTTATGTCTGGCAAAATAGCGGCCCAGAATGATGAGCAAGCACAGCATGGCGAACACCACCACGGCCACGACGCCGCCAATCACGGCGTGATCCACTGCCCGGATCGAGCCTTCTTCCCCTGCTCGAGAATCTGTTGAAATCAGAAGAGGAATAGGGATGTAGAGCTCATAAGGAGACACCAGAAGCCCTGGTGACACTGTCTCCAGGGTCAGAGGGCACCTTCTTTGTTTAATAGAGGAGCCACAGAGGAGATCCAGAGGTGGATCAAGTTACACTGAGGGAACAGACTGACCTGTCCAGTTCTGAACTGATCCGTTCTCCCCACAAGGCAAGTTCATGGATAAGCAGCACAGGAGCGCTAATGCATGTGGAACACGCTTAGGGAGCAGGGAAGGGAGAAATAGAGTCCATCCTGTCCTAACTGGTCTTAGCGTTCACTCTGTCTGTATCCAGCTGTAGATCCTATGAAGGAGGCTGACTTAACTATTTAGGGGTGCTCGGAAGGGCACCTTCAGGCAGTAACAGGAGCTGTGGAGCGGAGGCGAGACACCCAGTGACTTATTTCCTACAGATGCCCAGTGACTGACTCCCTGCTAGGCATATGCACAGGAGAAGTAAAGAGCTCCAAAGCCACAGCTGCCTAGAGATAAAACAAGGATTATGAGACTCAAGACAAGTGACATGCTTGCTACATTTAGGATGTATGAGGGAATAAGCCTCAATCTAAAACCTAAAAACCTATTTCAAAAAAGACAGCAAGGAATAATTGTCCATTGCCACAGACGGTTTTTATTTTATTTATTTAACACTTCACGATGCAATTAATTTTCCTTTATAAGCATCACTCCCTCAGGATGTCTTCTTCCGACTGAGGAACGACATGTTTGGCTGGGGAACAACTCCAAAATGAACCCAGAATGAGCTATGGCGATGCGGAATGGATGTATGGCAGTGTAAACAATTTTAATTTAGGACTCTGGCTACATCACCCCTTGCTGAAATCCTAATGGCACCAGGGATTTATAATGTAGTAAAAAACAATTATTCTCCTGTTGATTAATACATTAACATTTTGGAGTGGAAGCTAAACCATTGTCTTTTTTTTTTTCTTATTGAGTCAAGTACGACACCTCCATTAAAATGATTTACTAGCTGTACCTTACAATTTAAGCACAGCAGCAACAGAAACGGTAAAAATCTTTTAACTTTACATGATTTGTGAAGTCATATGTGAAGGATTTACCATTTAAATCTTTCAGTACAAGAAGCACACGGCCTATAAATCTGTCCCCCGTGCAGTTGCTGGACGCCTAAGAGAAATGCGTTTCACCAGGAAGACTGAGAGTGCAAATTCAAGTCAATTTTTAAGAAAGATTTATCTCTGTCTCTCTCCAAAGAACAGAGCAAATCTCTGAAGCCTCCACCTCTAATAATATTTGAAGTTTATCGATCAAGTGTACAGATCCGTGACAGCTAAAGGTAATGGTGCTCTTTTGAGCCGAAACCTGATACAACGCTTTCAGCAGGAGGGCGTGATTTACACTTTCTATCGATATTTCCAATTCTGCTCTGAGATTAAGTACTGAAGGATATGGGGAAATAACTTGTGACTGAGGGGTGCATGGAAAGCGCTTTAATTAAAAGTGTTTAAATTTAAAAACGAAGTACTTAAAGTGTTTCATTAAGTTACTTTTCAAGGGACTACAAAAAACCCCCACATCCAAACCCAAACAGAAATGCCAAGTCAGAGGCAGCGGCAGGTCGCGCAGGACAGCAGGATGATGGGAGTTTAATTGGAGAATGGAGATGGGTTGGAGGCAGAGTGCACTGCAGCCAATTAGCCTGCTCCGTGATGTGCGAGCCCCTCCAGCAACATGTCTAATAAGCTCAACTTGAAACGTGGTGGAGAGGAATCTCCCTCCTCGGCCAAAAGTGTTGCCTATTGCAAATGCAACAGCCTCAGCGTCTTGAAAGTCATTTCAACAAGGCAGAACTCAGCCATGGAAACTTTCTTTTTTTCTTTACGAGACAACAGAGCTTGTTGAAGGAGAGCACTCCCCTTGGGGACAAAGAGTATCTGCTGGAGGATGGCGCTTTACACACTGGAGACTCTCACCCCAACTGCACAAATTCAGAATTGCTCACAGGGAGACAAAAATAACAGAAAAGCCAGCACGTTGTGTTTTCCTGAGGGGACTGTCAAAATAAGGGAGCATGTGGGAATGAGAATTAACTAATCTCCAATTGCCATGAGCTTCAGACCTATTGAAAAATAGGGGTCTTACAACTATTTTCATGTCTTAGAATTGGGTGAGGAAAACAGTGATATTAGCCATTGAGCAGAAGGGAAAGTTCAGTATAAGGCAAGAGGTGACGAGAGGTCCACTCCTGGAAAGATTGAGAGCAGAGAGAACCTTTGAGAAGCTGTCCCAGGCACAGACCTAACCCATTTGGAGAAGGACATGCTCATGTCCACTCTTAAAAGCTTGCCTCCTCCATGCCTAGGCACAGGAACATTCTAGAAGCCTAAGAAGAGAATGAGAAAGAGACAGAGAGGGAGGGA